TCCAAAGAACTATTAAAATTGACTGTTAAAAAAGACTGTTGACCGCTGACGTCATATGGCGCTAAATTGAGTGATCTTTTCTTCACTTGGAAAACCTCGCTTGATTTGGATAACCATGAGTTGAGTGTATTTAGCCGAGGAGTGCCGAATAATATAACCTTGTCGTTTTAGCTATGACGTCACAGACTATTCGATGAAGCGGTTCCAGGACTTGTGTACGAAGGCTACCTGTCGGTAAGGAAATGGCCGATGTTCGTTTCATTGCGGCAAACGAGGAAGAAATCTGGTCGATACTCGAAACTAGGGACAATAAGAATGCAAAAAAATGTGAAAACGGCTGAAAATATTCTCAGCGAATATGAAGTGTAACTACCGCTTCTGCGTAATTAATTGTGTGAAAGAAAAATTGGTAAGCATATTAACATGAGGAAATTCTATTGTGCAACTTGGAAGAAGGATGGGAGCATGTATGCAAAGAAAACCATAATTTCTATCCACTATGCTTTTCAGAAATCATAAGTCCCATGGCATTGGTATAATAAATGATCCTCGATTGAAGACGGCAAATGACGATTGTTGATAAATACACAAAAACATGATAAAGTCTCTCTCCCAAAACAATTTGACTTTTGTTAAATATAAGAAATTTGATTTGGTAGGAGTACAACAAAACAGTTGTTGACAGGGGTCTCGGGAAACAGTCGACCTGTTGGACTGGAGTGCAAGCTGTTGCCCGCGACCTACGGCCTTGGGCAACAACTTTCACTCCGGTCTAACAGATCGACTGTAAAGTTCGTGGACAAGCTAAAAATTTAGCAAAGGTTGTGTCTTTGATATTTATTTTTGACATATTTCTAATCCTTTACTAAATGAATTAACAAATGTAAAAATTTATTCATTTTCAAATGTTTAATTACAATTATGGGTTCATAATTAGACTTGGAATGGAGACCCGGAGCACTGCAAAATTTCAATTTAAAAAAATATTTATCACTTTATAAATTTCATCTGTAGTTTATAAATTTCTGGGGAAATCTGAAAGAATTTTACAAAATGAGGTTGACAGAAGCTATCACGTCAATTCTGCAAAATTTCAACGTTCAAAGTTTGAAAACAGCGATGCAATCAAAGATAAAACATACTAAGACAGGATCGGAATAGTTAAAAAAAAAAGAGAGAGACGTTTTCGGAATAGGTGGAGCAGTGAACAGTGATAAAATTCTGCGTATACATCGAATAAACACCTATAGAGACCAATATATTTTGTAAACAATAGGGATTACATAGTAAAAGAAGTCGTTTACTAGTATTTAAGTGGCATATAATATTTTCGGACGGAATGAACAGTTTACAGGATGGCATGCGTGAAGGAAAACTCATTCCGAGATTGCAGTACTGTAAAAAATGAATTTCGTAACGTGATCATGATTTTGCCGTATTTCCGTAAATAAAATCGTCTTTACACGGATAGTGGTTGGATGATTGCAGGATATATGCAGGAGATATGAGACAGGCATTCTTAAATATTATTTTACGAATAAAACCTGAACATTTTGTGCATATTTTTATGACTTGTCAAAACAATATAATAAATTATTGAGTTAAACGCTGAATATGTTTAGAAAAGTTACATATGCTCGTATTTCACTTTTGACGTCGGGTAACGTCAAGAATTTTCGTTTTAGTGCTCCGGGTATGAGTGAGTGATAAAAATATAACTATTTGTGCTTTGTTTTTGTTGAAAACGTGCATGAATTTAATGAAAATAATAGTTTCATATATTTTGTCAATGTTTGTCAGTAATTATCAATGTTGTCCACGAACTTTACGGACAGCCCTCGTACAACAGTCCCTAGTTATGCTGTCCCACCTGTACATGAGCATTTTCCTGTGTCAATGCCATCTGGAAGTTTAACTTCTGCATCTAACCACAAGCTACCTAATTTATCGTTACCGACATTCAATGGAAACAAATTAGAGTGGCAATCGTTTTGTGACTCCTTTACTTCCGGGATTAATGAAAAGATTAGTTTAAGCAATGTTCAAAAGTTTATAATTATCTGAAATCATTGCTCCTTGGCGAGGCCTTAATTGTCGTAGAAGGATTTACTCTTACTGATGCAAACTATGCAAAGGCAATTGAGCTTTTGAGGGAGAGATATGGGCAGCCACACAAGATTACAAGAATATGTATGCAAGCACTGCTGGATTTAACAGAACCGAGTGATTCCTTACACAGTCTGAGAGAATTTTATGACAAGATTGAAACGTGTGTGCGGGGGTTAGAAACATTAAACCAAACGAAAGAGAGTTATGAAAGCTTCCTAGTTCCAGTAATTTTTAGAAAATTACCATCAAAAACAAAACAAAACTTAGCCAGGTCTCATGAAAGTGATGATTGGACACTGGGGGAACTAAGGAAGGCTTTGCGTCGTGAACTGTCAATTCTTGAAGCTGGATCAAACACGGACGCGGATTAGTATTCTAGTGACTCGACATTTCAGATAACAGCAAATTTTCATACAAAGGCTTTTAAGGGCAAATCCAATTAACAACAGGAAGCAACCCAAGGCTAAGCCTGAAACCGGAGATGTGAGTATGTACCAAAGCAAATTCTGTGTATTCTGTGATGATAAAAATTATATGGGAGGTAACTGCACCTTAACCAGTGAACGAAAGAAAATGATAGCGAAGCAGAAATCATTATGTTTCAACTGTCTAGGATCTCATAGAGTCAAGGACTGTCCTTCAAAGACAACTGTAAAAAAAAAATGTGGGAAACGCCACCACACTTACCTATGCGCCGGCTTAAGGGAAATAACACATGAATCGACATATCATGTCACATCGGAAAACATCCAGTCGTAAAACGGAGTACGACAAGGTTATTCCTTCTTCAACAAGTCTACACACGTCTTCAATGACAAATATTCCAACAATACTTAAAACAGCGACAGCCCAAGTTACCAACGGAGAAACAGTCATGGACACAACTATTTTATTTGATGAGGGATCACAGAGGTCATTCATTACAGAAGAACTAGCACGAAATCTGAACTTGAAACAAACTGGAACTGAAACTTTGCTGATCGCAGCATTTGGTGGAAAAGAAATAATGCAGACTTCAACTTTGTTTCTGATTGCGGATTCTGGGGAAAGAATTCAGATTCGTGAGTTATAGTATCATGAATTGCCGACAAGATCCATACGCATCAAATACCGATCAAAAACCTCCCTTACCTGAAAGGATTGAAATTAGCACACTCCTATAATGGATCGACATTTGATGTTTCTCTTCTTATTGGAGTTGATCACTTCTGGGATATTGTCGGATATGACATCATACGTAGAAGTGGACCAACTACTGTAAGCTCTAAAATAGGATATCCACTTTCAGGACCAACACACTCGAGTGTAAAACATAATCATTTTGCGTCCTACAACATTTTATCTTATCATCGCCTAGAAGAATTGAATTTAGAGAAGTTCTGGAAAATAGAAGACATTGGAAACTTAGAAAAATCAACTGATATACCAAATTAAGGATCAGAATTATGTAACCTTTGAAAATGGTCATTACACAGCAAAGTTGCCCTGGAAGGAAAAAGTCCGTGATTTACCTTCAAATGACACAATAGCACTGGAACGCACAAAGAATGTAATTCGACGTTTATCTCGAGATCCAGATATGTTGAAGACCTACAACAATATTAGTAAGGAGCAGGAAAAATGTGGAATTATTGAGAAAATAGAGCAAGAGGACACGCCCAACCAGCAGGTACACTACATTTCCCACCATCCAGTAAAAAAGGATTCAAGTACAATACCAATTCGGATAGTCTATGATTGCAGTTGTAAACAGTCTGGATGCCTCAGCCTAAATGACTGCCTGGAATCCCACTCTCCACAACTCCAAAATTCCAACAATTTTAACACGATTTCGAGCAAAGAGATATGCTGCGTCAACCGACATTGAAAAGGCTTTTTTACAGATCAGTGGTCCTTTTCACGAAAAATATTACGACTTTGACTAAAATTTCACCACTCCATAATTTTTTATTTAATAAGTATATTTTTCTAATTAATTACTGACAAATAAATCATAAAATATTAATTAAATGTTACAGAAAAAATAGATTTTCGAAGCTTATATTTTTGTTGTAGAGTGGTGGAAATTTTAGTCTTAGTAATATGATTTTTCGTAAAAAGGGACAAAGACTTCATGAAAAAGACCGTGACATGACGAGATTCCTTTATTTGACAGGTTACACAAATCCAGACGCTGGGATATCTACCAATCGATTCAAAGTCGTACTATTTGGAGCAACTTGCTCACCATTCCTTCTCAACAAAACCTTGAAAACTCATTTTGAAAGAAACCCTTGTGAAACCAAAAGAGAATTGTCCAAATCATTGTATGTAGACAATGTTTTAACCAGTTTCAACGATGAAAATTCACTCATGAAATTCTACAAAACTTCCCGTGTTCTCCTAGCAGAGGCTGGATTCAATTTAAAAAGTTGGAATTCGAACAGTATAAAATTGTGTGACACAGCGGCTGAAGATAGGGTGCTTGACAGTGACAACATTGTAAAAATTCTAGGATTGAGATGGAATCCAAAAACAGACCAAATTTCCTTTCCAAAACTTGATTTAAACATCAATCGGAAATTTGCAACAAAAAGAGAAGTTCTCAGCCAATCATCCAAAGTTTTTGACCCACTAGGAATTTTGAGTCCTATTACTGTTAGAGCCAAACTTCGTATTCAGGACCTTGGGCAGGAAAATGTTTCCTGGGATGAAAAACTTCCAAAAAATTACCAGGAGAAATGAAATGAAATGAACTTACCGAGGAACTTGAATTGTCGTCGACTACAATACCAAGGTATCTACGTGAACACTCAGCCTCAGTTCCTAATCTGCATATATTCACAGATGCCAGTACGAGTGCTTATGGAGCCTGTGCATACCTTGTCACAGAAAGTACCTTACATCTGATAATGGTAAAAAACCGAGTCGCACCTATTAAACCTACAACCTTATCTCGCCTAGAGTTGATGGGAGCCGTAATTGGAGCCAGATTAGCCAACAACCTCAATGACATATTGAACGTGAAATCAACAACTTTATGGTGTGACAGTCAAATTGTCCTTCATTGGCTTCAGTCGAAAAAGCCAATGAATCAATTCATCACCAATAGAAAAGCAGTGATTGAAGAATCAACAAAAGGGCATACATGGAAATACATTCCAACTAATTCCAATCCAGCAGATCTTCAAACAAGGGGAATCTCATACAAACAATTTAAAGATAACAGTCTTTAGATGAATGGTCCTACATGGTTAAGAGAACCATCCCAGTATCCCAAGTGGGAAATCTCAAGGACATCTGCTTTAACAACATCTCATCTACAGACAAAGAAAATACGGAGTATGGACCGAAGAATATCGTCATTCATGGCGTCAGCAACATCATAGACAAATCACGATTCAGCAGTCTAAAGAAACTACTCAGAGTTACGTATTATGTTTTGAGATTCGTGAGAGTATTCAAATCTTCCAGTGAACATATCAATCAACAGAGGAAGAGATCTGTTTTATTTGTGAAACAGCCTCAACTAGATGAAATGAATGAATCAACAGTACTCTGGATAAAGGATGTACAACAAAAAGAATTCCAAAAAGAGATAACTGCTATGAATGGAGGTAAACAACAAACATCGCTACAGAAGCAACTGAAACTTTATCGAGATGACAAAGGATTATTACGCTGTAAAGCTAGAATTGACAATTCTTCTTTAGTGGACTCGGCAAAATATCCAGTACTGTTACCAAAGAAAAACCAGCTTACTGACCTTATAATAATGGATATCCTCAAAAGAATTTACACTCAGGATGTTCCCAAACCATCACAGAAATTCGTCAGTCATTTTGGATACCAGCGCTAAGACAGAGCGTTAACCACGTGCTAAAGAAATGTATTCCATGCCAGAAGGTAATAGGACAACCATTTCTATTCCACTTCCAAAGGACCGTGTATCAGACTGTATACCCTTTTCGATTGCTGGAGTAGACTATGCTGGCCCCCTTCATGTCAAAGTAAATAGACAAACAAAAAAGATGTACATATGTCTGTTTACATGCGCAACAACCAGATCTGTTCATCTAGAACTTGTTCAGGATCTCTCTTAACGGAAACATTTGTATTAGCGTTCAGAAGGTTCATTACCAATAAAGGAATGCCACACACTATTTACTCAGACAATGGATCAACAACGATGCATCATGGAGGAAACAGGCTTAAATATTAACTGGAAGTTCATACCTAAAGGTGCACCATGGCATGGAGGTTTTGGGAACGTCTGATCAGGATAACAAAAACAACTCTGCGGAAAATCCTTTGAAAGGCTTTAGTTAGTGAGATGGTCCTTCGAACCATACTTTGTGAAACAGAAACCGCAATAAATGACCGTCCATTCACATATGTCTCTTCAGATATTAAGGACCCACAACCACTGACACCTTCTCTTCTACTTAATGGACGACGCGCACTTCCAAAATTCTTTTGCGGCCCTGAGAAAGATCTTCATAACGAGGAAACGAACAAAGACCAGTTGACAAAAACCTTTATCAGAAAACAAAAATTATTTTTTGATTTATCTCAACGGTGGAAACAGGAATATTTAACAAGTTAACGCAAACACCATCGTTGCCTCGGGAACAATGTGCAGACCTTAAAAGTTGGAGATGTCGTCCAAATATACGATACTTGCCCAAGAGTAAACTGGAAACTTGGACTAATAACAGAACTTTTGGAAGGCAGAGATCACTATTCCCGTATTGCTATACTAAAAACTAGTAATGGTCATACAAGGTCAAGACCCATGTCAAAATTATACCCACTTGAACTGTAATTAAGAATTAATTTACAACTTAATTTACGGTATACATATTGAATATCTGTAAATTATCTTCAAAATCATCATGCCTCGCGGAGGATGTTATAAATTCTATAACAATTCATGTAATTTGCAGTGTACATTCTTGGGTTATGACGTCACAATCGTGATGACGTCATAATAGTGATGACGTCATTGAGTACTCTGTATTTTTTATTGTTACCAATCCACATAGAAATGCTTATCTAATGTAACCTAGAAATTCAACATAATCTGTCAAACTGGGCGCGACATTTGTAGTAAATTATAAACAAAGTATCAACACGGCAGTTTTATTGTATACTAGGTTATAAATAATGAACTGGATTTGTTCAAAGTTTACATCAATCCAAATAATTTGTATTTACAGAAAATCTGCAATTTTATTATACACCAATCATGTTTCTCATAACTATTTAGTACGGATTACTGTTTTGTTCAACCAGAAAGTTGGAACTCGTGACGTAGTGTGTAGAACATATGCCATCCGCAACACCTCGGGCCTTTCATAGAAAAACACATATTCGGATGGAACGTATGCCTTTCAACCAAAGAGTTGTGAGTTCGATACTGACTGGGTTCATATTAAATTTATTTTTTTTTCTTATTTCTTCAACCCAAATGACACAAAAACACTTTAAAGGTTGGGAAGGCCACAGGAACAAGAAGATTACCAGTATTTTCTTTTTATTTTATGCAAAATATTTTTTTCAATTCAATGGAAAACATTTGCTTATGTATAAGTATTATATTAAATATAAAAAAGTTTACATCATAATTACTATAATTCTCTTGTTTGTGATTGGATATTTTTCACTTGAATTGAAAATATTTGCATATCTATAAATTTTATATTATATAATATTTTTTACAAGTTCACATCATAAGTTTAACTTTTAAAAAATCCTATTACCTTTAACAAGTGCAAAGTTTCGATGTTAAAAGTATGGGACCATCACAGAATCTTTACAACATATTGCTAATTTGTACCTCTTATTATGCCCCCGTAGACGAAGTTTTTTTGGAGGGGGGGGGGGGTACATAGTTTTTGTCGTGTCCGTCCGTTCGTCTAGCTATTTTTCTGTTTGTCCGTAAAATCTATCCTTGTCCTTAACTTTTGATTTTATGAAGCTATGACTTTCATATTTCACGTGTGTACTCCTTGTGACAAGACCTTTCTTTGAGTACCACCAAATTCAACCTTTTGACCTTGAACTTCGAGTTAAACCCACTTTTACACAAAAATTCTAATTTTGTACTTTGATCATAGCTTTTGAACAGTAGATACCGGGACATTTACATGTGTATACTTCAATGCATTTTTTGTTGAAAGACTTAACGTTCGCCATTAATTTTGAACCATATAAGATAGAGACTTCATATTTGGTATGCATACACCACTGATTAAGCTCTTTTAAATGCCAATATGGTCAATGAACTTGTGACCTTGACTGTAACCTATTGTGTATACGCTAAATATAGCTTTCTTGTCGGCAAATTTTAACCTTCACTATTACTTTTGAACGAAGAAAGATAGAGTCTTAATATTTTGAAGATATACTTCATTATTGAAGTTCTTTCACATGCCACCATGTGTCTTTTGTGCTAAAAATAGCTCGTTTGGAACCATGAGATATAGAAACTTCATATTTGGTATGCATGCTTCACTAATCAAGTTCTTTGTGATCTTGTGACCTTGACTGTGACCTATATGCTAAAAATATGATTTTTTTCACCTTTGTTTCCGCCGGACGCATAGTGTTTTACAAACACATCTTATTCATTAGTACAAAATCTCCATGGTCAAGGTCCAAAGGTCAAGGTAACTGGTATCAAATGAAAGGTCTTGTCACATAAAATACATATGTAAAGCATGGAAGCTTTAACCTTTACCGTTAAAAATTTATGGACAAAGTTAAAAAAAATTTAAAAGTAGGTCAACTCCAAGGTCAAGGTCAAAAGGTCAAATTTGGTACGTGAAAAAATTCTTATGCATAAAATAAAAAGAAAATACTGGTAATCTTCTTGTTCCTGTGGCCTTCCCACCTTTTAGAGTGTTTTTGTGTCATTTAGGTTGAGAAAATAAGAATTTTTTTTTAATTTAAATGAATTAACCCAGTCAATATCGAACTCACAACTCTTTGCTTGAAAAGGAAACGTTCCACCCGGATGTGTATTTTTCTGTGAAAGGCCCGAGGTCTTCCGGATGGCATACGTTCTAGAAACTACGTCACGAGTTCCAACTTCCTGGTTGAACAAAACAGTAATCCGTATTAAATAGTTTTGAGAAACGTAATTGGTGTATAATAAAATTGCAGATTTTCTGTAAAAACAAATTATTTGGATTGATTTAAACTTTGAACAAATCCAGTTAATTACTAGTATTTAAATCCTAGGATACAATAGAACTGCCGTGTCAATACTTTGTTTATATATTTAGAACAAATGTCGCGTTCAGTATGACAGATTATGTTGGATTTATAGTTGACATTAGATAAGCATTTCTATGTGGAATGATTAACAGTGGTAGTCCAAGGGCCCCTCTTCCTTGCTCCAGTAACCATTTGGTGAACACTTCAAAGATAAGGCGTATAGTAGCTGATTGTTTCCCGTTTCACAATATACAATGATGAAAAACCTCAAAGTTCAGGTTAGCTAATTGGCCCTTTCCAGCCCCTGGGCCCCTTTGAAATCTTGACAAGGGATACCCCATAAGACCCTTAACCCATCTCCAGTGATAGTTGGTTCAGCTGCCCAGAAATGGAGGACAAACGAATGCTTGAAATGTGCCCCACACACTTGGCACCACTTGGTGGTGCCAACACAGCCGCATTCTGAAAGTGGGAAATGATAGCCCTAGGGCCCCTCTATCTTGCCCCAGTAACCATTTGGTGAACACTTCAAAGATAAGGCGTATAGTAACTGACTTTTTTCCGTGTAACAATATACAATGTTGAAAAACCTCAAATATCAGGTTAGCTCATTGGACCTTTCCAGCCCCTGGGACCCTTTGAAATCTTGACAAGAGATACCCCGTAAGACCCTTAATCCTTCCCCGGTGATAGTTTGTTCAGCTGCCCAGAAATGGAGGACAAACGAATGCTTGAAATATGCCCCTTACACTTGGCACCACTTGGTGGTGCCACTACAGCCTCATTCTGTAAGTTGGAAATGAAAGCCCTAGTGCCCCTCTACCTTGCCTCAGTAACCATTTGGTGAACACTTCAAGGATAAGGCGTACAATAGCTGACCTATTCCCGTTTCACAATATACTATAGTGAAAAACCTCAAAGTTCAGGTTAGCTAGCCGACCAATCCCAGCCTCTGGGGCCCTTTGAAACTTTGACGAGGGATATCCCTAAGGACCATTAACCCATCACCAGTGAT